GCAGTGCTTAAGGAAAAACCCTTCGCAGGTGCTTTCGGGAAAAAAAATCAGGGACTCAAAAAACAACATTTTCCATGATGACCAAATAGATCACAGAACATCGAATGCGCAAGAATTGCCTAAGCAAGTAAAATGACACTAACAAACGCCAGGACACCGAAGGTCCTGCATGATGCAATAATCCAACCACTTTCTTGCGATATTCCACCCATGCTCTTGCAACCTCAGTGTCATTCGAATGAGCGTCCTTGATGTGCTCTTGCAAGACTTCCTTGTCTGCACATTGAAAGTCGCACAACCGACAAACATATCTGTTGAGCTCCATCTCCTCTGTGTCCTGTGGAGTTGAGAGTAATCGAGTGGACATAGCTTCCGCCACACCTGGTATGCTAGGAGTGCATTGCAACTTGGCAGCAAGAACGCTCAATTTGCGCTGAAGAGACAATCCATAAGATTGCAGCGTCGCAAAACATTGTTGAAGAAACACATCGCCGCATTGGAGGACTTCTTGCAATGTATGAAAAGTGCGACTTTTCTTTGCATCCTCTGTCCAGCCAGGTACAGAAAGCATAAGTTGCTCTTCAAACTCAGAACGCCACTGCACACCTGTCGATGAGTCACCTGCTCCAGTAAGACAGTCCAAGGACAACTGCTCTAAAGGTTCAAAATCAGGAGGATAAGCCTTCTTCATGCTTGAGATGCGATTCCTTCTGTCCTTCTCCTTGTAGCTGTCAATCTTCGAAGACAAAGGCCTGTCTTCAGATTCATTCGGCAGTCTACTCGTCCCCGTGTCCATTTGCCACTCCAGCAACTCTTGATGCAGGGACAACACATCGGCATGGACGCCATTCCTTCGCAAGGCTCAAGGGTTATGATGTAAAGCCTTTTACCCAATCGACAACCAACAACGATACTGACGTCCAAAAACTAAAGAATGTACGACCATACCAAACAATTTACCCCTCTACATTCAACGCCCCGACTCCTGGAAGCTCTAAGTGCAGCAATGCGATCAGGTTGATGGAGGCAACGCAGAGCCGTCAACTCGCCAGATGCACGTGGATGCAGAAGTCGCTGTATGACGAACCACAGTGTCTGCAGAAAATCTGCTTTGGTGAACACTTCCTGCCACAGACACGGCTTTTCCGGATGATCTATCAGTTCCAAGCCATACCTTCGCATGAGACCACGTAGAAAGGCCTTGTCGGCATCATCCAAAGCACCCTTGCGCTTCCGAGACTTGCCATCCGTCTCCACTGTGGCCCTACGGCCATGCAGAATTTGTAGAACGGCCTCGCAAACGGATCGTACTACACGAGACAAAACATTCGGTTGAAAGCATTGTACCAAAACACTCCGACGAAAAATGAAGAAAATAAACAGGTACCCTACCTATAAAGAGTCATGCTGTCATGCACCCTCGCCTCTAAAACGTCCTCTTGATCTTCGAAGCCTGTTGGTTCATTCCACTGCCGTTCCATCCGCACTGTCTGCAGATCCCAAAGACGTTCAGCAACATCAAACATATCGACGGAATCCGCAAAATCCAACAACTGTTTCCATCCTGCAACCCAACCAAAAACATTGATGAAAGCAAACGTTAGACAAAACAAACCTGTCAAGGAAACAACAAATAACAACTCCATGTTCTCGCGCTAAGCAAAAACAACCTTCAACAGACTGAACCTTCAGCTGTTTGATCAAACTACCGCCGTCCTTGAGCTTTCACTGGGTTCTCGTGCAACACGCAAGCCAGCAAAGCGATGACGTGCTCGCGTTCAAGGTTGGGAAAGCGCTGCAATGCAGCATCAGCATCAAGTTTTTGCAAGTCAACATCCAGTGTGGCCCAAACGTCCGAAACTGAATTGAAGTGTGTCATAATGCAACCAAGACTACGAATCAATTCCAGCAATGTCTGCTGAGAGCTATAGTGACGTCCCACCAGAGTGTCCATCGGAATGCACAAACACCATGCAAGAAGTTTCAGCCGAAGATCTGCGTCGACTACCTCTGTGCTCAAGAAATCGGCGTCGATTTGCTCGCCTGCTGCTTGTCTTCCAAGACAGGACCGAAGCAATCGCCAAGCATGCCGCTGCACCGCGGCGCTGCTGTCCAATGATTCTTCTGGCAGCAAGACGGCGATCATGCGCTCGATCAGCGCCTTCTTAGACAGACAGTCTTCCACACCGACTTCAGCACCCAGCGCCGCCAGCGGGCTTCGGCCGTCCACTGAATCCTTGGCTACCTTGGCCGAGAAAGTGTTCAATTTGCGACGAAGCCACGCCCGTGCATTGGGGCCTTGCTGTACCGCCTCCAGTTTCAGTTGCTCAGCGGTTACCTTATCGCTGACATGTCAGAACATCACACTCACCACCGTCCTGAAAACTAACAACAACAAAAGCAAAATTCCAACATACCAATCAGAACGAAAAGACAAACAAACGCTTCTTTCCTAAAGCTGTTGTCAAGACATAGGGAACACATGTCACGTACAAACAATCACATCCTGTCATGTTGTTTCACAAACTGGCAGCCAGGGGTCCAAAGATGGAGATATTGCTTGTAGCAACTGATGCACCAGCTCTGCCTTGCTCAATTTACGCAGAGAGTCAGCAGCTCGATGAGACAGACCAAAGTGCGTACTGAGCTTCCGAAGTTCGTTAATGTCCTTTCCCTGCAGCTGTGACTGCAACCACTCCTGTCCCTTGACAGCAGCTTCGGCCTGCAGAACTTGGAGGAGCTGCTCAATGTCACTCACTGCAGGCTGCGATGGTTCCTGAGTATGGGGTCCACTCTAAAATGAGCAAAGCGATTCGAAAAGTTACAGAACCGGATGAGCACATGCACTCCCTAACCTCATATCATGTCATACTATTGATGAATGTGTACAAACAAAAGTGTATAGCAGTGAAAAGATACACTACTATAGGCCTCGGACAAACAAATTGAAACGACAACGCATAAAGAATACTTGTTACATACGAATCATCACATCGTGTCCTGTCATGTTGTCTCTAAAACTGACAGCCAGGGGTCCAAGGATGGAGACATTGCTGGTAACAACTGATCCACCAGCTCTGCCTTCGTCAACATGCTTGTAGAATTCGCACGTCGACGGGAAAGACCCAACGATGTACAAAGCTGACGAAGTTCGCTGGTGCTCTTTCCCTCGAGCTGTGACTGCAGCCATTCCCGTCCCTTGACAGCAGATTCCGTCTGCAGAACTTGGATGAGCTGCTCAATGTCACTCACTGCAGGTTGCGACGATTCCTGAGTATGGGGCTCCATCTAAAATGAGCAAAGCCAGTCCAAACGTTGCAGAACCGGATGAACACATGCATTCCCGAACCTCCTGTTATGTCATACTGTCGAAGAACCTGAAACGTACAACGTTCTCACAAAAAATACGCCCATCCAACATTTATATCTCATGTGTACTGACAACATTTACGCGTCGCGCGCGCAGACAAAAGTGCATATCAATAAAAACAAATATTTCTATAGAATACTTGTCACATACGAATCATCACATTATGTCATGTCATCAAACTGGCAGCCACGGGTCCAAAGATGGAGACAATGCCGGCAACAATTGCTCCACCAACTCTGCCTTCGTCAACATACTTGTAGAGTTCGCACGTCGGTGGGAAAGACCCAATTGCGTACAAAGCTTGCGCAATTCGTCTCTGTCCTTTCCCTCGAGTTGCGACTGCAACCATTCCCGTCCCTTGACAGCAGCTTCTGTCTGGAGAACTTGGACGAGCTGCTCAATGTCACCCGCTGAAGGTTGTGATGAATCCTGAGCATGGCGCTGGCCGTGATCCCATCAATGTGATTAACGATCCACTCTTTACATATACACGTGCACGTATTCCCGTGTATCCACAGGAAAAAAAATTGTAGCTTGACGGCGTAGGCAAATCACAACATCTGCCACCAAGCTTCTGCAGGTGTCGACAACACCCTCACCAGCTCAAGCACTAAGTCACTCTTAGACAGTTTCACGTCAGAATCTCCAAGTCGAATTGACACGCCAGCTGCTACGCACAGCTTGCGCAGCTCTTCAATGCTCTTTCCATTGAGCTGTGACTGTAACCTCTGCTGACCTCCAGTCTCGCATTCCATCCGCAGATTTTGCAAAGCCCGCTGCAGCGGAAGGCGACCACTGGAGGAAGAAGACGAAGCCATGGCTATAAAAAGCTACACAAGATTTCGAAGGTCCAACATGATTTCATACGGTTGAATTGGTTGCGCTGGCGGGATTCGAACAACTTCCGGTCTCGCGCCAACGCAACTGATCTATGTATAAAGTCGATGGTACCTACGTAAGATACGTTTGTTTCATGAGCTCCATTGATCGCACGGTTGAATTGGCTGTGCTGGCGAGATTCGCACAACTCGCGGTCTCGCGCCAACGCCACTGATCTATGTATAAAGATACGTTTGGTTCATGAACCCTACCGACCACACGGATCGGATTCTGCCGACCGTCGATCGAGAATAAGCGAGTCCACTTGCCTTCGAGCCATACGACACAAAGGTCAATGATGCTGATCATGTTAAAAGCTGTCACCGTCATGATGATGCCAACAAAGGAAAAAATTCAAGCAGCTGTAACAACAAATCTGATGCTGATCATGCTAAAGCCGTCACCGTCATGCCGATGCAAACGACGGAAAAAATCCAATCAGCTACAATAACACATCGAGTCAGCTGGGTCTATTTCAAGCCAAGTATACAAATACAACGCAACCTGAAACACATGTAACTCTCATGCCGTGAAAGAAAATATGACATGACATCAAATATGAAAATATGATGTGCCATGAGATGATGATCTCACGATACGCCCGTGATATGCTATTGTGATCATGAGCTAACGATGAGGTCGATGACGATTGCAATGACGTAGCTGCTGGTAATGATGATGATGATGATGATGGTGCTGACGACGATGATGATGATAATGATGATGATGATGATGATGTGGATGATAAGGATGATGATGATGATGATGATGCTGATGATGATGATGAAGGTGATGATGATGATGATGATAATGATGATGATGGTGCATGTCGCCAGGCACGGTTTACACCACACGTTGTTTACGCCAGACGAAGTAACCATGGAAAAGTTTACACCAGACAAAGCCGACAAAGGTTTACACCAGAGAAGAGTTTACACCAGACATCGATTACACCAGACACCGTCTATACACCAGACACGGTTTACACCAGACGTCGTTTACACCAGACAAGGCCAACAAAGGTTTACACCAGAAAGAGTTTACAGCAGAGACAGTTTACACCAGACAGCGTTTACACCGGACACCGTTTACACCAGACAAAAAGGTCTTACCGCAGACGAGGTTTACACCAGACAAAACCGACAAAGGTTTACACCAGAAAGAGTTTACAGCAGAGACAGTTTACACCAGACAGCGTTTACACCAGACACCGTATACACCAGACGTCGTTTACACCAGACAAAGCCAACAAAGGTTTACACCAGAAAAAGTTTACACCATAGACAGTTTACACCAGACAGCGTTTACACCAGACACCGTTTACACCAGACATGGTTTACACCAGACATGGTGGAAACCATTGCAGCAGCAATTATAAGGCGATTAGCAACAAAAGATTGCAAAACACCACGTAACTACGCACTGAACGATGACACAGGAACACCTTCGAGCCAGAACTATAAGGCGAATAGCAACCAAAGCGTGTAAAACACCATGTAACTACGCACCGAACGATGACACAGGAACACCTTCGAGCCAGAACTATAAGGCGATTAG